TTTTTTTTTTTTTTGAGTTGAAGTCTGACTCTGTCACCCAGGCTGGAGTCCAGTGGCACGCTCACGGCCACCCCAGTGTTAACCTGCTGGGCTCTGGTGATCCTTTCGCCTCAGCCTTCTAAGTAGCTGGAACTCCAGGCACGCATCACCATGCCCGGCTAATTTTTGATTTATTAGTTAGAGACTAATTTGTCCAGGCTGGTCTCAAACCTGCAGTTTCAAGGCAATCCACTTTCCTCAACTTCCCAAAGTGTTGAGATTACAGACTAAGCTACTGAGCCCGACTGAGGAGTCAGTCTTAAAAAAGGGTTTCGAGCCGGGCTCGGTGGCTCAGCCTGTAATCCCGTGCCTTTGGGAGGCTGAGGTGAGTGTCTTGCCTGAGCCCGCGGGTTTGAGACCCGCCTGGGCAGCGAGACCTCATCTCTACAATAAATCAAAAAATCAGCCAGGCGTGGTAGCGCATGCCTGTAATTCCGGCTACTTGGAAGGCTGAGGTGGAAGGATTGCCGGAGCCCAGCAGGTGGAGGCTGCGGTGGCCGGGAGCAGCCACTACACTCCAGTCTGGGCGACAGAGTGAGACTCCAACTCAAAAAGGGTTTCGATGAGATGGTGTCTGGGTAAGAAGTGGTTAACCTGTGGTCAGCAGGTCTACCTCTGAGCATGTAACCATGCCCATTGCCTTCTGTGTGCTGGGCAAAGAGAAGGGCCACTCCACTGTGGTCTTCATGGGGCTAAAGGACACCTCTGTGACCCCAGCAGGAAGCAGGGGTCCTGAGGGGCCTTGAGAGCTATGGGCAAGGTCAGGCTTTGTCCGCCTAGGTGAGGAGGATCGGTGTTGGTCCTAGGTGTTCTAGAACGGTACTTGTTTCCTACCAACCATTAGGAAACGCAGATCGGAGGCAAAGAAGGGAGAGCTCTTCAGCTCCCAAGAATGGCACCTCCAATGCTTTGGTATGTTGCCATCTGGTCTCCTCACAGGGCTATGTCGTGTGTTCAGTGGCACCCACTATTCCTTCACAAAGGAGGTCATGTGGTCCTCATCCTCCCACTGGCTCCTCTGCTTCTGAGTGCACAGTGCTTTGGGGTCTCAGGGTGGACGCCCCACCTCAGACTGCCGTGTTGGAGACTGTGCTGGTACTGGGCAGCTGGGTTTTTTTGTTGTTTTTTTTTCGAGTTGCAGTCTCACTCTGTTGCCCAGACTGGAGTGCAGTGGCCACTCCTGGCTACCACAGCCTCAACCTGCTGGGCTCCGGCGATCCCTCTACCTCAGCCTTCCAAGTAGCCAGAATTATAGGCACGCGCTACCACGCCCAGCTGATTTTTTGATTTATTGTAGAGATGAGGTCTCACCAAGTTGCCCAGGCGGGTCTCAAACCCGCGGGCTCAGGCAATTCACTCAGCCTCCCAAGGTGCAGGATTACAGGCTGAGCCGAGCCTGGCTCTGGGCAACTATTTAAGGAAACTTGGAGCCACACTCAGCAACTGTGTGCTTGGCTTTAGGGGAAACCCTGTGGAGCCACGCCAGCAGCCTCAGCCAGAATGCCTTCATCCTGAGGCCCCTGCTCCAGGTGCCTGACGTGGACGGCGATGGGGCCCCAGACCTGCTGATGCTCACCCAGGAGGAGAAGCAGGTACAGGCCTGGTCCAGATCCCCCACAAGTCACAAGACCCAGGCCATGCAGCCCTGCTTGCCTCCATGACCACTTCCCAGGCAGAATTTGGGTCTCACCATCTGGCGGGACTTCCCTGGGTCCCTGTTCCTGATGCCCATGCACCCAGTGTGCTGGGAGGGTGCGCCTCTGTTCGGCAACCCGAGGCCTTCCCAGGAGTAGCAGATCTCACACTCCTGTCGGTGCCATCACAGTGTTGGGGTGAAGCTCTGGACAGGGGCATCTGTGGCCCATGCTGCCCTGCGCCATTCAGGCAGGCAGCACCACAGGGAGGCACACACATCTGACATAAAAGCGCTCCTTCCTCGGAACACAAGAATGCTGGCTGCTTATCCTTTGGCATCACTCATCTAAATGCCCCACCCTCCTGAGTGCTGGGGTTGTCTGTATTGCCAGCTGCCCTGTGTCATTGCAGGTGAACAGTTACATCTACTCAGGCAGCACCGGGCTCCAGATTGGCCACAGAGGCAGCCTCGGTGTGGATGGAGAAAGTGGCTTCCTCTTGCATGTCACCAGGACTGGCGCTCACTACCTCCTCCTTCCCTGTGGTGTGTCTTGCCTGGCTTCCCTCTTTGAGGCATGCTGGTCTTAAAAGGGTGGGCTCAGCGCTCTTGAAGGAAACCACATGTGAGGGATCACAGCTGCTCTGTGGCCTGGCAGCCCCCTCCAAAGCCTCTCCTGGTCCTCCACGTGAGTTGGTAACCTCAGGCTCTTGTGTGTCTTGAACAGCAAGTTCCCTCTGCGGCTACTCTGTGAAGGGTCTCTATGAGAAGGTGGCCCAGGGAAATAGCCCATTCAAGAAAGACCCCCTGTGGGAGGACATGCTCAACACCACCACCCACCAGGTGCTTCCACACAGGTCAGTCTTTCCTCACACAGAGGCATTGGCCTTGCTGCTCAGCTCGCCAGGCTCAGTGTGCGGACAGTCCGTGCAAGAGGTGAGCAAGGGGGGCACCAAGACATCGCTGGTGCATAGGGTGAGGCCACCCTGGGCTCAGACACAAGATGCTGGCAAGCCAAAGTCGAGTAGAGACCCAGGAGAAGGTTTCTCAATGGGTGCCTGCCTTTGCCCCCACTGGGGGCCTGGTTTTCTATTTTCAGGCTGGAGAATGAGAAATGTGGGGATGTGGGCCTGAGAGAACAGCCCTGGGACAGGTAGTGCTTAGCGTCCTGCCCTCCCCGGGTTCTGAGACCCTGGGGACTCTGCACCTTCCCCCACCCCTCTTGTCAGCTCTGGTGCAGTGCACCACCTGATGCATGTCCCAGGGAAAGCTGGCGCAGATGTGCTCCTTGTGGGCTCGGAGGCCTGTGTGCTGCTGGATGGGCAGGAGCTGATGCCCCGCTGGACTCTCCGTATGGCCCCAGGCCTGAGGTATGGGCTCTCCCCCAGGGAACGCAGTCACTGTGCCCTTCGCGGTGCCCAGGCGTATCCCACTGGCGGGTGAGGAGGCGGCCTGGGGATGAGGGCCGAGGGAACAGACAGGGACGGGACTGTGCGCACTGCCAGGCATGGCCTATGCCTGCTGCTGCCTGGGCTCGGGCATCAGCTCCTTGCCTGAGGCCCAGCATGGGTAGCCCCAGCCCCATCTAATGGCAGCCACAGGAACCAGCGGGCCTGTCTCTGGTGTTGCCTCTATCACAAGCTCCTTACAAAGGCCCCGGTGAGCTCTTCTTCCCTGTTCCTCCAGAAGACCTGTCTTCGGCTACTACAAACCAGACACCTTAGCCGTGGCTGTTGAAAATGGAACCAGCATTGACAGACAGGTGTGGCATACTTCCTTCGGGGTCACGCTTTTGTTCTGAGCTTAGGGTAAACTGGTCTGAGCAGACGGAGCCATGGCCCAGAAAGCTGCTGCCTCGAATGGCAAGCAGGTTCCGCTGCTCCCAGCAGCTGTCTTCAGGGCCACGTGGCCAGGGCACATGTGCCTCTGTGAACCCTGAGCCTGTCCCGGTACCCAGGGACCCCACAGTGTCCCCTCCTTCCCTAGATCCTGCTTCTAGACCTCAGCACTGGGGCCATCCTGTGGAGCCAGGCCCTCCCAAGCCTTCCTGGGGGCCCACCGTCTGCCAGTCTTCCCACTGCAGACCACCGCTCAGCCTTCTTCTTCTGGGGCCTCCATGAGCCAGTTGGCACCAATGAGACGGTACACACCCTTGGGCAGCCATGCTAGGAGCTGGGGTGAGGCCCAGTCTTTTTTTTTTTTTTTTTA